GGGAAGGGTGAGATCCTTTTTGTTTAGGCATTTTAGGAAGCGTCATGCATTAATCCAATCTGGAAAGTTGGAGGGCCGACTTTTTTGGCAAAAAATTTCTAAAATACCCCGGCCCAACCCCCCCCCCCCAATAAAAAACGTACCTTCCCTTGGTAACAATAATTATTTAACATCATTTCGTCTTTAACAGAACATTATTTGGAATATAAAAGAAGAAATGAGTCTACATATAGACGGATCAGCGTTATTGCGAAAAAGGAAAAACACTTTAAGAGTTATGATCAAAGTTTTCAAAGCAAGGATACTTTCTTGCGATTTTGTTGTTAAGTTCTAATCGAAAACTATCATACGAAGGACAACAAAAAATCACATGTTTTTCATCTTCAATTTCATTTGAATGGCAGAAAGAACAGATTCTTTGATTGACTGGGGTCTTTGGAGTCGTGTATATTCCCGTTTCAATGTGTAATTTATGATTGCCCAGACGGAATTTATTAATAGCAATTTTGTGTTGTGGATTGTTTATTAGATCTAAAAATTCTATTTTCTTAGTGTCTTTTTTGAATAAGGAGGAAAAGTCTAATTTTCTCTTTGCGTTACTTAGCATTAATTGGTGGTCCTCATAGATCTTCCTCTTTAACTTAAACGAGTAGTTCTCATACTTGTATCGCTATTGTTCAAGTATTATATATTATAGCAATTGCGGAAAAAAAAGTGCCCAACTTGAGTGGATTTAGTTTGTTTTTTAAATGAAGATTTAAAAACATAACTCAGAAAAGAGACAATTCAGGACAGTTGATTGGACAGTAGAGAAGAAGCATTTCCTCAAAACATCCTATTGGCCAACGGTTTAAACATGGCCTCGTTTCTGATGTTAGTATTCCGGTAGGGCTTGGGCACAATTCACCGTGCCTTAGGACATTGCTGACTCATCCTGAGCCGGAAATCATTTGTTTTTCATGATATTACGATTTATTTACTCTCCGGTCGCTAAGACCACGTAACTCATAGCCAGGTGAACATGAAAAATGACAAGAAAACTTCCAAAGATGAAAAGCCTTTTAATAACGGTCAAATCAAAAGGTGATCACAAATGCTATAGTTTGTCAGTCGAATATTATTCGAATTGCCTATTATTGGAATTTACGAACATTGACAAGAACAGTGTTCATTTATTTCTATAGTTTTTTTGGCAGGTTATAAATTGTAGACATTTCAGCACCAGCTGGATTTACATAGCTAATGCCTTCGACAAAACTAATGAAGGTTCCGTATTTTAAATAAAAACATTTCGTGTCGCTAAAAAGTTTTCATGCTGTTACGATAATGATTTTAATTTAGCCATGCGGTTTTCTCGATTTCATGTCCCAGTACTTGTGCTTCAGATATCTATATTGAATATCGATCCGGTTTAATGAGAGAAGATGAAGCTTGCGTTGTTAGCTTGCGTTGTTAATCTCTTAACCGAAGAACTTCGTTACCGTATATTGTCCTCTTTAAAAGGATTTCTCAGTGTAATATAACATAACGCAGAATTGAACCTTCTGCATTCCATCTTAAAAGACTGACAAGTGTTTTACTCGTTAGATCGTTCGACCGGTCGCTGGGCCAACGAAACTGAAAATAAGATGACATACATATTCCGGATAAATAATTCGAAGTTATTTTTCGTATTAAAAACGAAAATTTATGTGAAACAGAAACAAGGAAAAAAATAAGGCATGAAATTAGAATGACACTCCCAACACCCACACGGAAACAGGTAAATCGAGGGTATACAGTTTGATGTTCAACACTGAAACCCTTTCAATATGCTTCGAAACCTTTTAGTTCTTACGGAATGTGGACAGTCCTGTTTTTGCCTTTCGTTTGAGAGAAAGCCTTCGTTATTCCTTGTCGATGCTTTGCAATACTGATTCGACAAGTTCGGGTATTGGGAGTAGCACGACCACTGCATCTCCGGTCCTTCGAGAGCTAACGAAAGCTGGCGATAAAGAAAGGTTACAACTCTTTCAACTTTCGTTTGCGCTCGAAAGACCTCGAAAAAAAAATGTGGTCTTCACGTTGTCTTTTCAGAGACTGCTTTCGTTTAAATCATTTGATATCAGAGATTTTTTCGCTCACCGCTGTCGCTGAAAAACCCGATCGAACCGATCAAATTTTCACGGCCCGCATTACGGAGTTTGCGAAGTCAAGTTTCCGCTTTGCCTTCTATAAGACCAACGCTGATTTCGTTCGGTGAGACGTGTCTTAATTTTCTAATCCCAGTATGGTAAAAAAATCATCTTAGCTTCTCCGTAAAATCACTGGCAAGTATCAAAATGCCCTCAAGTGAAGAACAAAACATGAAACCAAAGATTCTATCGGGGCGGATCGGCCAAACGAAGGAAAAATTCGTGTACAACTTTGTACAAATAAACAGTAGTGAAATGAAGAGCGCAACTTCGAAACCTAGCACAAGGTTTCTTTGTCGATTAACAGACTACGTATCCTACTTGACGTTTAAAGGGCCACGTTGCAGAAACATGTCGTCGCGTCGCTTTAAATACCGGATGTCGCAGAATTCTTGACCATACAAAGAATAGAATAAAACAAAATTCTCGACCCCAAAGGTTCACGGAGTCGAGAGAGTAAAGAAAATTATCAGATTTCGCTAAAACACCAGTCAACCAGACCATCTGGTAGGAAAATATAAATTCATCTGAAAGCACAATCTCAATATTTGATGCCCCACGACATTTTTAGAAGCGGCAGCCGAAGAGATTATCGCTGAAAAATCCTTTGTTTCCAATCTGTTTGATGGGCTGTGAATTATTGACTTTTTGAAGGAAAGAGAATTTAACCCGCAAACAATCATTTCCATTGATTTTCATCGTATATTGTTTGTCCGCCACCGAATTTGCATACTTGAAGTTGGAAACCATTGTTTTGCCCAAATCCAGTTTTACATTTTCGATTAAAAAACTCCTATTCATACGAATATTGTTGTAACAAGGTCTGTTCCACTTGATTGAAGATTCGACAACAACTCATGTTTGGTCACCGATCGCCTCGTGTAGCTTGTAAATGAAGCTAAAATCGTCTATTAATTGAAAAGGAAAGTCTGTGATATTTCCTTGCGAACTGTTTGACACAACATTTCCTGATTTTCAGTATTTTTTGAAAAGAATCACACCACCTTCGACCTCGTGCCACGCTTTGTGTTTCCTGTGTGACGTCACTAAACGTCTCACGTGACAACAGGTGAAGACGCATGCGCGTAACCACTGTAAGATCGTTTTCTCTCGTAAGCAGCAAAAGCAACTGCAAATGGCGTTGACTGAGTTGTATTTTTTGTGAAAATACTTCTCCAAACGGCGTTATATTTGGGAATTTGAATGAGCAGACGCCCTCTTACAAGTTTAGGGTGGCTATAGTTTGTTGGAACCAGCGTCAGTGTTTTTTTTGTGGTGGAAATTAAACTTGTTTTACGCCAGTGTAAGTAGCACGAGTTAGATGACTGTGGTTGTAGACCAGCCCTCAACGGACGCTGTTAGGTAAGTTTCGTGCGTCATATTTCAGTCCTCTCTGTACTCTACCATTTTGCTCCGACATGGTGTATTCATAACCCGTTCTAGGAAGTATTTTTGCCACAATAACTGCCACCTATCTCTAGCTTACAACATTGAATGTTTGTGTGTATAAGTTTATGTACAGCACCAAGCTCTCACTTTCAAGTTGATATGTGTAATAATTGCCGGAACAACTGGCTTCAGAGATCGGGTTTATGCTTTATGATAATTTCTATTAGCACTTTTCTTGCTACATTTGTAAAATGTAGCGGTGAAACAAGATATTGGCGATCTAAGAGAGTTCTACTTCGGTGGTTGGCGGAGACATCTACGCCTTCTTATGAGTTAGATCCTTGGCTGAAAGGCAGCGAATTGGTGACAGTGTAGATGCCCATATGAGCTAGACATGCCTTGATTTTATCCTACGTGAACTTCACTACTTTTCTCTTGAAGTTTTTCATCCATGATCAGCCCCCCCTATGTGTTAAAGCAAATCGACTCGGCCCTGTGAGAATTTTATATATCAAATGATTTAGTAATTTGACCTTACCCTAAGACGAAAGTTAACTTCATTGAAAATAGTGGTTGAGAGATGTTCCACTAAATGCGCATTTGAACCTCGATAGAAGGAGCTATTTGGAATCTTCTTTGTAGTAACTCTAAGTCAGTAATATTTTTGCATTGCTGCGTTGTGTTCGAATTATGTTATTGTTCAAATGAATCAGGGGTTTGCCCTCAATATGCGATAACTTCGGTTTCTATAAGTAGTTTTACTGACCAAGTGTTGAAGTGATGTCGTTATATTGTACAGTTTTGGATATATCCAGGATATTTACGTCTTTAAATAGTTGAAATTATTCCTTTCGGACGCTTGCTTACATGTGCTTGTGTCCGCCATCTTGTTTTAATCGACTTGTTTTTTTATTCAACGACCAAGAATTATAAGATTGTTCTTACTGAAGACTTCTTCTACCGTCATTTGAAATACCTAAGACGATCTGGAGGGTAGAAATTTGCCTTCGAAATTATATTTTTGGTTTTCATGTCGTTTCTTAAGCGTTTCAAAACAGTTGATTTTGAACTCGTTTCGCAGAATCGTGTGAGTCATGTTGGTTGTCGCTAGACGGATGGAATGGGGTATTTTGGTGGGAAGGCATCTTCATTAGATCTTCAAAGAACTCGCACGGTTGAGAAATTGTTTTTGACGCTGAAACCGAGAAAAGGAAATTGTTGTGGCGCTTTCAATATATTAAATTCGAAAGGTGTGTCCAATCGCTCTCAGTCGTTGTGGTGTTCAAATATTTATCGTGTTCTCAATTCGCATCTTTCTTCCGATTGCCAAGTTTATTGCAAGGTCGATCTTTCAGTCTGTCCAGTTAGATTTTGTACCATGCTTTCTGCTTTCAAAGCCTCGTGTATTTTGCCATCGTCCTCTTGGAATTACGGTCGAAATGTAGTGAACCGCGTCTAGGAGAAACGTGTTTGTTTGAACGACCGCCATCTGCTTGCTTCATCGCTTTCTACTAGGGATGTTATGATTAATGCATGTCCGTCTCTCTACAGGCCTTATTTCGTCACATTCTTGGATTATTCTCCTTCCAGAAGCAAATTCTAGTAATCTGTTTATGTTTTTGTACCGCACAAGATCTCTCTATTTAGGAAAACGTCCACGAGACTGCGTTCGAATCCGTGTTGGGCTTCAAAGTTTGTCGCAATTTGCATGTATTTTTCATGACGTGGTTGTGTGCTTTGTATTTGCCTGTGTGCCTAGTAAGCGAAAATCGATCCTTTCTCGGTTTATTCGATACGAAATGCTTTGCTTTCTTCAGGTGCTTGCTTTGGGTCGGTTTTTGCTTGCGAAGGTCACCAAGTCTTGCCCCATATTTTGGAAAATCAATCGCTGAAACTTTGCACTTCGCGAAGGTTTCAAAAGTTGACTTGACGAATTGAATCTCTGTGGAAATTATTATCAACATAATCTTGTATCAGATGTGAGATTGTTCGTTTGGTATTGTGAATTTTCAATATATTTGCGCCCCTTAGAAGGCAACTTTCAATTTAATAACTGCTCTGTCATATTTTTTCATCGAAACATTCCAGTTCGAATTCATTTCAGATCAGGAGGCCTTTGCAATCGTAGAAGGTATCTCTACCGAGTGACTCGAATTATGTTTTTTATGTGTTCTCTGTGTCAGTTTTTCAGATTCTCTCGATGTAGTGGAAATGTAAAAATAACATCCTTTATGGTAACACCTTTCATAGACGAGAATAACATGTTAAATTTTTAAAGCTTTAGAGGTTTTTGAGAATTTCAATCACCGTTAATCGTGCTTTAGTAGTGTTCAAGTATGACTCTTGCAATGATTACAATCCAACTGTATTTAATGCAGATTCAGTGTTTAAATAGCAAGAATATTTTATTCTAATTCTGTTGTCAACATTTTGTCACTCATAATGCAAACACAACGTACGCCTTCCATTACAAGTTGATGCCTGATCTTGACTGGTACAATTTATGTCGAAGAAAACCTTTCCCAAATTTCAAGAGTTAAGAACTTTCAATAGTTTATGCATGTACAGTGTCCTTGTATGAATGATGACCATTCATTAGGTTGATGTTGTCTCCTGCAAGCTTGTAAATTTACATTTGGTTCATTATCACTTAACTGCTTCATTCCATATTTATGATGTAACATTCATTCCCCTTGGATATTTGTTGCATTTTACATGAGTTAGGATGAAATTTTTCTCTCTAATGTCTCCAAGATCAAAGCTGATTTTCCTGAGCAATTTGTACAAACATTTGAAAGCTCAGCCAGCAAAGGAAAATCAGCAGATCTTCATTGAGCTTTTATCAGCAGCAATCTCAGGCTGGGTGAGTCCCTTCTATACAGCTCCTATCGCACCAGTTTGTAATGTATTGTGTGGGAGTTGATTTCCATCTCATTACTGAACAAGGAACTTTCATAAACACTTCACTGAGAGGTCGTTGCAATATAGCAGGGCTAGATTTGAATAAGAATAAGTGGCACATTAACATTAAATGTTATGTCAAAGCATAAATCAGTTGAGAAGCAACCATTAAACAAAATATACATTGAACATTATCATAGGTTCCATACAAATTCATGTCAAGACCATGGTGTACTCAGCCAGATGTTTTCTTGTTACAATACCCAATATGTCTGTCAATGGTGACCCAAAAATTACTTTCCAAAATTTAATTCTGGTGTTTGTCTCAAAGGTTTGGTTGTGTGCCTAAATGCAGTGGCAGACCATGGCTTCTTATTTAATGGCAGTTAAACTTCCATCTTCTGATGAATCATGCAGATAAAAAGTAATGAGCTTCCATCCTCTTATCGAACCAACACCTCCAGAGACCTACGAGCCTATGACTGCAGGATCAGAGTGAGTAATTTAATTCCCCTTGCCCTGTGTACATGCAGGATTTAAATGCTTTTGTTTTTTTGTTTTTTTTTTTTAACTCAGAAAGATCTCTTCTCTTATCTGAGAGTTACTCTGCATGGTGGTCAAGTGATTGAAAAAAAATAATAACATTCAAAATGTTGTCCTGATTTATATCATAACCCCCTGAAAAAATACTATACTAGAACATCTTAGGTCACCCAAGAGAATTTCCTTGTAAATGTTAGAACTTCTTTTCTTCCACAAAACAGCAATGTAGTTGTACGTGTTAAACTTTATCGACGAATGAGGCTTTGGTGTGAAAGTTATGTCACAGAATTACCGAATAAGATCATTCCATCATTATGGGAATAGACTGATTGCTATTATGTACTAGCTATTTGAGAAGGTTAAAGTAGTAAAGTTATGGGAAATGAATGATAAGTTTACAGTTAGTTTCAATGTGTCAGACTTTCTCTACATGTTTATCTTTTTGAGGTAATGCTTTAGTGATTTAATAGGGCATTTCGACATTGGAGAAGGAAATGAAATAGAATAGGTCATTGCATTTTAGGTTAATCTGTCTCCAAGTGGTGTTAGTCCAGAAGAACTTAAGATTATTATTATTTTCTTTTTTTTTCTAAGCAGGATGTGAGAATCTCGTATAGTTTGGTTATTGTACTTTGTGATGATTTTTGTGTGTGGATTCAAACAATAACTTGTGGTTGAGTTTAAGAGATAAGGACATTTAATGTGATAACTGAAGACTGTTGCATTTCACTTTTGGGTTTCATACTGTAGACTATTGCACCCTCAGAACTGAAAATAACTCCACTTTTAGGAAATAAGCAGTGCTATTCACAGCAGGTTGAAATGTTTCCCTATGTACTACAAAGATTTTTTTACTGTGAAGTAATCTATTGCAAAACACCATGTATTTCAAATGTCTTACCCCCCACTTGGGGGAGTCCACTGTCCGAGTCCTTTGTTGTAATTTTGTTTACTCCATATGTATTCGTTTAATGTGTTTTTGACATCCCATGATGCTAGTGGCTTGGCTATTTTAATAGAAAATAGTTATTGTCATAACAGATTGACAAGTGACATTCCTTGGCACTACAAAAATAGATGAAACAGGCTTTTGATCTCCTCTTGTGTGACATTTTCAGAGAGAAGAATCCTAAGAATTAATAGAACTGCTCTTGTTTTTTAATGAGCAATTACTGTTTAATCCTATTTGTCAGACAAACTGGATATTTTGTTCCAAACTTTTTCATCATTCAGAGCACTATTGTTTACTCTACTGTTGTGATTTATATTCAAAAATTAGTCGTAGAGTGTCTTGGAATTATGCAGAGTAAACCACAACTTGACAATTTTGATTTGTCTGGTGTGATATATAACCTCAGTCACCTGACCCTGTTTTGACTTCCCCCCTAGAGCAGTTTTCAAGTTTGAGGCACTTAAAAGTGAAAGTGTTGTGTGGCAATGTCTCAACCAAGATAGGCAGTACAAGATTCTATTTGACAAAAACAGCATTTGTAATAACTAGAAGACATGTCTTGTGAGCCGTCTATATTTTATTGAATTATTAATAGAGCCTTTCCATAAAATTATGTCAGATATGGTAGAGTTCCCTGATTACTGGACAAAGTTCTCTGTCTAGATCTCAATGGCCTGTGTATTTTTTTTTATTATTATTACATTGTTTGGAGTGTTCAGCTGCTGCTTCTCTTTATGGTCTTGCATCTACATTTTTTAATGTTTTAATACATCTTGTTTATTCAATTCTGTAACAAGATACACTTAAGTTGACACTGTGGAATGTGAAAGTGATATGGCATCGTTGGCCTTTGTACCAAATGCTTTTACTCTAAACCACTTTTTTTTTCTTTTTTTTTTTGTGAATGTCATTTCAAGTTACATTGATCAATCCAAGATCCAATATCATCTCCTCGTTTTAATTACTATGTTTTGATTTTGGGTCTCTTGGTTACGCCAAGCTTCCCTTTCCAAGTCATCTGTCATTGTTCATCTCGTCACTCTAAACTCTATTTTGAAGGGCTCTGTGCTTGAACTTACACGCTCTTACATAACTTTACTTGCTAGAGTCATTAGACAGAAGAAAATGAGCAAATTGATGGTCTTAACTTTCAGACAAATGTAATTAACATGTTGATTAAATGTCCCCTTTCCCTTTCAGCCCTCAGCCGGCAGAATCTAGCACTGCGCCAAAAATGCCCAGTATTTCCTCTATCCGGCACATCCCCCATATCTTGGTAAGATTTGTTGTTTTGTAATTGAATTATTGCCTCAGCAAACTTCCAGACTGAAATTACGTTATAAAGTTTGGTTTTGTTTGTTTTGTCCCAATTATTCCAACAATGGCTAAAGTGGCAAGTTAATCTTCCAAGGCAGAGATTTGGGAATACATATTGTTGACCTTGTCACCTCTTCAAGTGCCATTTAAGTTATTGTGTAATTTTGAGCCCAGTGGTCTGGTTACTTTTGTTAAATTAATTGGGAGAAACTTTTCAATTGATTGTTTCCTTTATAAGATAAGTACAGAGCATTGCTCAACAGTAGCAAACGCTGTGCAATTCGGTTGTAATGAAGAGCTTGAATGGTAACACTGGAGTTGAATTTCTGCACTGCAGGTGGTAGTGTAGAATTCACTTTCCTGTGAACTTTTTTCTGTATGAAGATAGTTTTTTGCTTGTGTAGCATTCTGAAATTCTGCTAAATCAAATGCTCTCAAGCTCGTGACAATTTCCTTAAAGCACCTTTCATTTTTTTCATGGTCTCTTTTGGGGTGTGTTAATATATTCTGTGTATATCAAAATTGTTCTTCCACTAATACTGCAGGACAGTGAACCGGATCCCTTGACCAGCTATTTTGAAGTTTTCACGCACATAAAACTGAATGTTCAAGTAGGAAAATGACAACTCCCAGTGAGATTGATAAAAAAAGGAATGACAGGTCAAAATGCTCCTTCCTCCAGCTTCAAATATTTCAAGAAGTTTGTGCATGTTCATCCCCACCCATTATTGCAGGTTTTGGAACATCTTTTTCAAAACTTCATTTTTCCTTGCTTGTTGTAATTGGACTTCTTAACCTGAACCTCAATTGCCTCCAGTAAATTGTCAAGTAGGCAGGTAAAAGTCTTTTTTTGTGTGTGTTTTTTTTTTTTAATTGTTTTTCTTTCTTTTTTTTTTTTTTCAGGATCATAATTATGGGCAGCCTCCACCTATGACTCCTCCCGATTCAAACAGTCCGGGGCCTGAGGATGGCGATACAGGAAATGAGGATGACGAAGATGATGGGATTACACGATGCATTTGGTGAGAAGAGTTACTCTTTTCTAGAAAATGATGGTGAATTGATGATCTTAACTTGTTGAGTGTCACAAGATAGTACTCAAGATAGTAGACAGAGTACTGGAGGTGGATTGAATAAAAGGAAATCATTTTGAGCCCAGAGAAAGATACTTCTTCAGAAAAAAAATTCCTTCTTTAGACAGTTGTTAGAGGTTTGTTTTTTGAAGGGGTAGCTGTGGGCAATGGGGTTATAAGAAGTTTCCAGATTTTAAGGCTCATTGACTTCCTCAATGCACATTGACTTCCTCAATGCATTGCAGGAATTTGATGCAGTTGAAGATTTTTCATAGCTAAATGAACGGAGTAGGGTTTTTGGAAAACTTCACTAAGTGTTGATATAGTTATAGGGTTTTGCTCATGGTGTTTCTCTTGTTTCAGTGAGTTTGACCATGATGATGGTTACATGATTTGCTGTGACAAGTGCAGGTGAGTATTTATTTTACAATAATTATTTTCTGGGCATAGTCCTTAGACTCTGGTATTGAGCCTGATGAGTTTCATCTGTTGTTAACCCCATTAATAGTACAGGTTTTGAGACTGGTTCCCTGTGAAGCTCTATTAAACTGTCACTGTTGTCACTAGCCCTTAATTGCTCCATGCATTCAATTTCATTGGCATTAACATTAGTGGCTTTTTGGCTTCACCACCATCTGATGCCCTTTTATTGAACATTGGAGTTTTTGAACATGTTAAAGAGTTCTTCTTCAAGGTGGACAGATATTGTGAAAAAGTAGATCAAAGGATTTGGTTGCCTTGTTTTTAATTTGGTCTGCATCATCTCAAGTTGTGCATCTTGAATTGAATACATAGGAAGCCATGCGGAGTAACTAGCGAAGAAGTTCACAAGCTATCTGCTCTCCCTCTCTAAACAGATCCCTGATGATTTTTCTACATTTGTTCTTTGTAGTGTGTGGCAGCACATTGAGTGCATGGGAATAAGTTCAGATGCTGTACCCGAGAACTACCTTTGTGATCAATGCCAGCCAAGGTTTGTGGATTCTTCTTTCCAATTGTGAGAACTTAACAGAGGTTACTCACAACCCCACCGCTTTCACTAGTTACAGAGAATGAGAAACTGGTTAGAATTTGTAGAATGATAGAGCCTTCAATAAATTTAGGGCCTTGATGCTTAGAATAAATAAGTTTTTCCTCTATAAAGCAGGAATGTTAATTTTATCAACAGTTTGTTGAATTTGTTATGGTTTTTTTTTTTTTTCTCTTACGGGTTCAGTTAGAGGTACAGGTACACATAATTATGATAAATGGAAATTTTCCTCTTTTTCCATTTACCACATACAATATATTTTATCCAGAGCTATAAATTATCCTGAGAGAGAATTATGTACAGCCTAAGGGTAAACAGACCTGTAAAAGCAATGTCTTGTTAATTGGACTTTTTGTTTTTCCTGTCACCTGTCTCTGCTTGTGAAGGAACTAGATATTGGTAGCTCTTTTTAAGGGCATATCATTCAGAAGCTTCTTATTATTATAAATTTTAAATTGCAAATTGTCATGAGTCAATTTGACATTGCAGTATTTTTGGATAAATTAACAATCTGTATGGTTAATTGGTGAAAGCTTTAACTAATTTGTTTTGTAATAGGACATTAGATAGAGACAGGGCCAAGGCAATTCAAGAGCGCAAAAGAGAGGAACAAAGTGGTAGGAATTCGTATTTTTTTTTTTAAAGGAGGGTAGGGTTCTATTATCAATGTTTTTGAAGTCCATGGTTGCCACAGGTCAGGAAAAAGTTGGAGAAAATAATTTCATCATGGTGAGAGAAAATTCAGGTAATTTCACTGAGTCATGGGAAATTTAGAAATTTATAACGTCAAAGAAAAGTGAAATATCAAGAAAATGTGATATTGGTAACCAAAAGGGATCATTGAAACTGAGCTCTTTTAATTGCAAGTATTAGGATTTGGACTGTCTTGTACTCGACATACTAAACACTTTTTGTGTATTGTCTTGGTCAGACGATGATGATGAGGAGGATGACAGTGAAGAAGACAGGGACACGCCAACATACACAGCTATCTCTAATACACCAACAAGAATCACTTTAACAGCCAAAGGCAGCCAGAAAAGAAAGCGTGGGCCCAACAAGATCAAGGTGAAGGATCAAGTCATTCTTCATGTAAGTACATGTAAAGCTCTCTTGGAATTCCTTTCTGGTTTTCACTATTGCATTGATTTTGATCCTATATTTCTTGTAACAGGTTGAAAACCATGAGAAGGAGAAGAAACCAAGAAGAAGAAAGGTGTGTGGAAGTTTTCTCCTTGGGTTCATACATGTAGTAAATGATTTCAAGGTCGTTAGAAAAACAAAATGTAAAAGTTTATCAAGCCTCAAAGTTTCCCCCATTGCTTTGAAAGGTGTCATATGAATTTGCAAAATTGTGTGACATGTGTGATGATAGTGTAGACAGAATTGTATCTCCAGTAATAAAATTCCTTTTTGTTTTCTATTTATTGATGCAGTTCTTTCATCTCAAATTCTTTTATAACAGAGGCAAAAGCAGAAGCCTCCCCCTGGATTTGTCTCTGGTGAGTTTGTCATTCCTTCGATTTTTTTTTTCTTTTCTTCTTGATAGAATTGCATTGTCAGTTTCATTGTCAGGGGGAACAAAGGACAAATTTGTCTCCTCCAGCATAAGGTTTTGCAGCAGAGTGAAGTAGGTACAACCTTGTCCTGGCAGTAACAGTTACAATTCCAGTGAAGGTTGAATTTTCTTAGACTTCTGTCATTGCTGTGGCATTCACTGCAGTAAACCAATGGAAGAACAGTGTCACTTGCTATGTGGGAGTGGCCTATAACCTGTAGTGCTTTATTTAGATGCATGCATTGACTTTCAATGTGTAACACCACTGATTTTTTTTTCCCCATATTTTGTGTCTTTCCTTCAGTTGACGAGGAAACCAGTGAGGCATGGGAAAACATGTGTAACTCATCTGACCACTATGAAGAGCTGAAAGAAAATATCTACACCAAGGAGGTTGAACTTCTAGCTGTAAATTCCATACAGGTACTGTAACTTAATCTACTTATTGAAGAGCAAGGTCAAATCAAATGGTATATTTAAAGAAAGAAGAGAAACAAACAAATAAACAAACAAAGTAAATTGAACCTCAAAGTACAAAAGTTTTGGGCCTGGGAAAAAACAGTTATCTTATTTTCTCCTGCTTCATTAGGGATTTCTGTAGTTAGGTACTTGTGTTTTAAACTTTCATTTGCTCTTCTCAGGAAAATGGATTCTTGCCCTCTGTTGCTAACAATGAACAATTATGCAAAGTGGTTGAAGTGCAGAAAAGTAGAAAGGTATGCTAGTTTTGTGTGACAAGTTTCTAATAAAAGCAAAATTTAGTTATATAGCCTGGTGTTTTGGTTTGTGTAGGTTTTTCTTTCTTTCAAATTGTTCTTCCCTGCATTTTTTAGGGTATCGTGGCCACAGAGGACATGGACAAAGAAAAATTTATTGTCCAGTGCAAGGTCAGTTGACCACATGGGTTTGTACAACTTGGTTTGGTTTGATAGTGATTTTTTTAATCGTTAAATTCCACAGGGCAGTGCATCTGTTCAGTAATAGATTACATTGAAAAATGTTGTAAGAACAGAAGAGTGGAACAAAAGATGCAGCCAAATTTGTCTCGGATGATCTTACCACATTTTGACTTCTTCTACATTGTATTACTGTATAGACCCAGGGCTCAACAGTGACAGCTTAGATGTCATCTCAATTTCAGTTTGTTTACTAGCCAAACTAGCCAGTGAAAATAAAAAACCACTAGCCAAAACTGAATTTCTACCAGTCTGTGGCTAGTTAGCTACGGTTAGTTTTGAGCCCTGCAGACCCACAGCAACATGGATTTAATTTGTTTTACATGATAAAAATGCAAAATGCCATCAGCCCTTAAACATCTAAGAGTGACTAGCATCTAATATTTTCATTACAGTATCACCCTTGAATCACACATTGAGATCGTGAGAATAAAGGAAATGATCAACAACTACAGAACCTCTGGATTGATAAGAAAATTCTCTTTGTCAGCACCTTAGGAAATGTATAGAGAACAGTATGGAGAATATGCATACCAGGGTTCCCACACTCCTTGAAAGTCCTTGAATTTTAATTTTTTGTTTTTAAGGACTTCAAAACCCTTAAACTTAGACTCGGGTCCTTGAAAATTTTTGAAAAGTCCTTGAATCAAAGTTGAAGTTTTCTTTTATTTTCGGTGTTGAAAGTGCAAGTTTCTAGCACAAATCCCAAAAACAAGTTTTTCTTTCAAATCCCACATCCGATTACGACGTTTTTCATGTGATTTATATATATTTTGTACCTGATTGGTGCAGTGGAAATAACCTTGGTTACCCAGCGCGTGATCACTCTGGTATGCATGCTTGAAGTCATGCTGGTTGGACTTTTTGGCCAGTCATTCACGCAATGGTTTTTATCACTATTAGCTCCTATTTAATGCAAAAGGTCCTTCAATTTGAGAGCCAAGATCCTTGAAAATGCCCCAAAATGTCCGTGAAAGTCCTTGAATTGGGTTCCTGAAAAAGAGCAAGAACCTTGGCATACTGATGTTAGGGGTGTAAAGGGTTAATGATGATGTTATCTGCCCCTCTGTCCTCCAGTAGATCGTAAATAGGAACCAGTCAAAATACTTGTAGACTTCAGTTTATCATATAATTATATACATTTTTTTTTCCTCATAGGGGAAACTTATGCTCCTCTCCAAGTTTGAATCAGAGAATCCATTCTTCAAAAGGTATTTCAAGCAGGATATTCTCCTGCTTGTTTTGTGGCAGAATTACGTGTGCGTAGTGCTCGCAAGACTGAAATGCTTTGGCAGTTAACAGACGTAATTTTCCTTTGGTTGTCACAGATGCAGTCCCTATGTTTTCTATTACTCTGAACTGGACCATTTAAAGCTGTGTGTTGATGCAAGAACTCAAGGAAATGATGCAAGATTTGCCAGGAGGTCCTGCACTCCAAACTCAGAGGTGAGTATCCTTAGGGTGAGAGAAATTTTTTAGTAGAGACAGTGCCTCTTGCAGACAAGAGCAACCTCTTTTTTTTTCTTTTTTTGTGCCAATTTTTGGATTTCTGTCAAGTTTGATGGGTTAGCAACAGCACTCCAAGCTATGAAAATGTGATTATTATGACAATTAGTTAACAATTGGTTCATGCTTTAGCGTGCACTATCGAGTTATGGAGCACGCGGGAAGTTTGGAGAGCACGAAAGAAGCGTAAGAATTGCCCGAGGCGATAGCCGAGGGCAACTCTAGCTTCTTGAGTGCTCTGCAAACTTCCCACGTGCTCCATAGCTCGATAGTGCACAGCTGAAAGTATGAACCAATTGTTTTAGAACATAGCCGGTCGAATTGTGCATCAAATGCGACGCGAAAAATGGAAAACAATATCAGTTGAAGCGAATCGT